TCAAGAGTATCAGAAGAGATACTATGACTTTAAGCATATTATAAAGAGTTTCAAGAAAGATGATAGAGTCTGACTAAGTCTAGAAAATATTATTATATGAAGATCTAGTAAGAAGCTGAATCTCTTATAGACAGAGTCTTATAAGATTATGAAGAAAGTTAGCTTATAGTTCTACAGATTGAAACTGTTATCTGAGTTGTAAATATACAATGTTTTTCATATCTCTTTACTCTGTGAATATAAGAAATTCTTAGAAGAGAACTCTATGACTCATCACTCTTTTTACAAAGTACTAGAGAGTGAAAGAGAATATCAGATCAAAGAGATTATTGACTCAGAGAAGCAAGATTGTAAGCTCTGATTCAAGGTTCAGTGATAAGAGTATTCTTATAAGATGAATAAGTTCACTTGAGAATCATTTAGACAGATAAGATATCTGCAGAAGCTGAGACATGACTTTTATACTGTAAATTCTGATAAGTCAGAATAATGTAATCTTCACTAAGAATCTGATTGTAATAAAGATATTAACACTGTTATTTATAAATTCTAGTCTTTAAGATAATGAATTTCTACTGAGATGAATAGTCTGCAGTGTATATAAGAAAAGAAGAAATTATATTCTTATTAAAGTTAAAAAACAAGAAAATAAACAGAACTGTGAACATAATTTAGAGATTTATAAAGAAAAAATAAAGAAAATTCACACTTACATTCTCAATATCTATAATACTCAATTCTCTCATAACTACTAATTTTCTTCTTCAAAGAAGTAGAGAGTATTATATCTATGATATAGACAATTGTTGCATTTGACATGAAGACTGTCAGAAATGCACAGACTTCAGAGAAGCTAAATATCAGAGTGTGTATAGTTGCAGTAGAGTCTTAAAGACTGACTGTCTGTGTATATAATCAGATATCTCTTATGAAGCTGTATTCACTTTCTCAGTTATACTGAAGTATTCAGTCTGAAAATAATTGAGATATAGAGAGAAGACTTATCTACTCAGATTAACTTCTGTTATAAATTCATAATATTTGCATTATCTTGATTACTCAGATTTTACAGATATCTAAGAACTCATCTCTCATTGATAATGAAATTGTGAAAATGCACTGTGATGTGAGAATCATTGATAGAGAATCTAGGCATATTCACATATATCTAATCAGAGATTGTGCAGATAAATAGAGAGTGATTATAGACCTGCAGAGCTGTAGAAGACACTGACAACACTGAGAGCTTTGTAAGAACTGTCAGCTAGAGTCTGTAAGAAATTACTTATAAGAAGACTTACAGTAAAAGAAGAGACTGTGCTGCTTAGAGTTAGAAACTAATCTGAGAGAGACATGAAATTGACTACTGACCTGAAGATTGAGTGTGATAATAAGACTGAGAGAGATGAAGACATGATTATAAGCAGCAGTGTCTCTACTTCATTAGCTGATAAAAAGTAATTAGAGAAGTTACAGAAACACTTACAAGAAGCTTAGCAGTGATCAGACATTGTTTATAAAGATATTGAAATTGAAAAAATTTTTATTCTTGAGAAGTTCTTGAATTAACATGTGAATATTATCAGAAATACTCTCTCTCTGTCATCTGAGTGAAAACACTTTGTGAATAAATAAGAATACTCACAGTTTATGAGAATGAAAGCTGTTACAGAAAAAGAGAAAAGAAGATGAGATTTTATAAATAGATCTGAAATATTTATACTACTCTAGAGAGGTTTGCTTACACTGTGAGTGATTCTATAGAACAGTTAGATTACTCTAGTAAATAAGAGTAATTATAAATTGCAGGTCTGAATCTTTCTATATGACTATAAAGAGTGATTGTAGACTGTGAATATCTTGATTCTATAATTCTACAGAGTTGATGAAAGAATGAAAAATTTCTCACAATTCTACAGTGTCAAAGAATAACAATTTATAAGAATAAGTGAAAGATTAACTCACAAATACTTCTCTTTAATAAGAGTAATCTCATAGAGAGTGATTTATCTGTAAGATGAATCTGTGTGATAATTATACAAGAATCTCATGAAAATGATTGAGAGTCAACTGAAATTCTTCTATATAAAAGATATGAGATGAATCTGTATAATAGTCAGAGAAGAATCTGTAGACTATAAAGAATCTTATAAAATAAGAAACTGAGTGACAGACTCTTTTCTCTTTATAGTAATAAGGAATTTTTCCTCACTGAGATTTTTTATAGATGTGAAGAATTTTTAGTAAGTATCACTACAGTGCTGAGCTGATTCTATAAAGTCACTCAGTGAAAGACTTCACAGATAAAGTCTTAGAGAGAAAGAAATATATAAGAAATTCTGCTTCTTATGAACTCTTTATCTCTATTTCTATCTCTCATGTAATCAATAGAGCTAGCAGCTCTTGACTATATATAACTATATAGACTGAAGTTTGTGAATACTATTCATAACTCAGCTTAAATACTATTATACATTTAATCTCTACATTTTATCTTTCTATCATGAATACTTCTAGTAGTTAACAGTACATTTCATGTCAAGCTGTAAACACCTGAATAATCACCTGTGAGTACTTATTCTTACACAGACTCTCTGACTCAGTTTAAGCAGATTACAGCATTATTAACTAATTCAGTATAATACTAATCTACTTTTGATACAAGTTATATGCTTAGAGCAATTCTTATCAGAGAGTCTGAGAAGAAACAGTTTCATCTTCAATGAAGATTTCTGAGATTTACAAGAATTTTTCAGATTCTTCAACTTTGACTTTCTATTACTATATATTCATATATTTTTGAGATTTAAAAATCATCTTAGCTTATAGTTAAAGAGAAGAAGAATAGAAATATTTCTTTAATATTTTAAAAAAATCTATATTTAAGATAGATATATACTCTTGAAAATAATTATATTTTTTAATCTCAGAATTTCTGAGAGCTTTTTTTTTATATGAGAAATTGAATTAAAATTTCTATATTTAAAAACACACTAGTCAACTTTAAAATAATACTTTTATTCTAAGAACTTGAGATATGAATATAAAAATCAGATATATTATAAGAATATTATTATTCTAAGATTTCAAGATAATATAGAAATAATGAATTTATGAAATTAAGTTAAAATTCTCTTTTATACTCAGAGTACTAAGTAAATTATTTCTGTGTTATTAATAATTAAAAACAAGTTGCAGAAATACTCATAAGAAGCTCAGCAGTGATCAGACATTATTTATAAAGATATTGAAATTGAAAAAATTTTTATTCTTGAGAAGTTCTTGAATCAATATATGAACATTGTCAGAAACAGACATCATTGCAATCAACCGCTCCACCACGAACTCGCTCGATTTTTCGAATAAGAACCCGCCGATAGATCCATCGAAAAGCCCTCGATCATACGAGCATTCTGACCCCATCGCCGACCGCATACCCTGTGTGGTGGTGGAGCCAAACGTGAACCGGACGTTGTTCGAAGCTCCAGTGTGGGATTATCCCCCGTTCTCCCCTACCACACCACAACCCCGGGCCAGAGTGCCATACAAATTGTAAGGTGAAGTGACCTAGCCATATGCACCAATCTTCTCGATTTTGGAAGATCCCCGACCTGTAGTTGTGGAGATATCCGAGGAGCGACCTCCGCGAAAACCCTGTCCATCTTTGATGTTCCAAAACATCAACGCCAAGTCTCACCCTCGTACCGCCCTTCCCAATCTGGCCCATCCCCGGCAGAAAAATACAAAAAGATACCTCGGCGATAATATCAAGCACATAATCAATGGACTCTTCTGAAGTGCAACCTCCACGGTCCGCCGCCAGTGTATCTAGACTTCAACACCAAGTCTCACCCCTGTACTACCCCTCTCAATCTGGCCCATCCCCAGCAGAACGATACAAAAAGATACCTCAGCAACAGCATTCAATACATAACCAGTGGACAATGAGTCAACAGCACATCAACAACTATAAAATCAGTATACTCCAAGGTCTGATTGAGCCTTTGATCCCTGCACAGTGAGATATATTAAATCTAGTTTTAATACCTCAATATTCAATAGATTCTGCAAGGGATTGAGAACAGCAACACTAGGTTTCTATTGAATTTGAGAATTAACTCTATATTGATATAATCATTGACAAAGTCTTCTATTTTGAGATATAAATAACCAGTTCCTCTACATTCCGCTGGCAATATTTATATTATTATATAGAAACAGACTTATATTCTCTATAATATCAAGACTCTGAAGAGAGAAAGTCTTGGTAGAGGGTATACAGTAGTGCATATCTTAGCAGTTTCTATCTCATTCTTCTGCAGCAGTTAATGTAAAAAAAAGATTTTAGAAATAGTTTTTTACTTCTCTTAAAAAAGTAAGGTGTTTTTCTCTGGGTTTTATACAATATTCTTACAAAGAATTAAAAACAGAGTTGTTTTCTGTCATAATTTCATATTCTTTTAAGTAAGAATTACTTTTTCAGTGGCTGAAGAGCTTTCATTAATACTTAATTCTTTTTTACACTCTTTATTAACTGATTTGAGTTGCACACCTGTTGTGTGAGAAGAATTGGATAATTTAGAATAAAATTGAATAGTTTTAATCAATTTCTCTTCAAAAAATTGATTTATTTTTTATCAGTTTTTCTCTCAAAAACTGTCATATCATCTGATTTACTATCAATTGATATCATACTTTTCCTCACTGTATCCTAAGAAAGAGATTGTAAAGATTTTATTGATTTATCTTAAAAATCAATTTTAGTTTATTAGATTCTCTTCAAAAATCTAACCTAGTTACTGAACTAGTGTGAAAAAAATCAGGTGTTTTATACACAAAAGTCTGCGATTCTTCTTTTGAAATAGTCTGACCAACTTTTCAATTGAAAACAGACTTAGAAACCTCTTAATTGAAACAGTCTGACCAACTTTTCAATTCAAAAGAGTTTAATAAATATCTCAATTGAATTAGTCTGACCAACTTTTCATTGAGTAAGAACAATGAGTTCAAAAGTACACTCAGTTGATGTGGAAAAAGATGCTTTCTCAAATGCTATTCCTGAGATTGAAATTCTGAAGAGAAGAAAGAAAGAAGAGATAGAGAAACAACAAGTTCTTGAAATACAGGAACTTGAAAAAGCAAGTAAAATTCTTGGAAAGCAGTGTCTGAGTGAGATGAATGAAGAAGTTCTGTTAATTCTTCATACTCAGGCTAGACAACTACAGGAAGTGATCAAGTTCAAACTTGGAATTTCAAACACAGTTCAAAAAACTTTGAAAATTTCTAATATAATTACTGACTCTTCAGTTTGCTCTTCTTTCTTTTCTACTTCTTCTTCTTCTCCTTCTTTGAATCAGAAGAAAACATATGCTCAAGCAGCTGAATCTGCTGTCTCTAAACCTGCTGTCTCTAAACCTACTGTCTCAAAACCTGCTCAAAATTCTGAGAAAACTGAGAAGAATACTGCTCATGCCTCTATTCATAGAAAAGTGGAAAAGAAAATGCAAAAAGAGAAAAACTTCCAAATCTTCAGAAATAGAAGACTTATTCTCAAAGTCTCAAACCAGGACATTCTGCAAAGAAACAAGCTAAACTCAAATCTCATTTTCAGAATCAGAAATGAAATTAACCAGCAGTTCTTTTCTCAGTTAATGACTGATATTGAAGTTCAAAAACCAGTTATAGCTTCAATTGAACCATCATTCTTTGAAAACTCCATCATTCTGACTACAATGCCTGAATTCAGTGCTGAATTCCTTATTCAGAATGAGAATCTCTGAAAGTCAGCAGTAGAATCTTTGTTAAACACAACAATTCTATCTGAAAGAGATGAAAAGTGAGGCAAATTCATTCTTCATGATATTTCAGTTGAAATTTTTGACTGTGAAGAAGGAATACTACTTCTCAAAAATGAATTGAAAGATACAACTCTATTCAACTGAGAAAGAAGCCTGTATGACTAAATTCAAT